ATGGGGCACAAAAATCCTGGAAAAATAATGACGAAAAAAAAGTTACAAACAACAGGTAATGGAAAAAGAATAAGCTGTTTTTTGTCTGTTTTCCAAACCTCATGTGAAAATCTTGTGACAGTACACGTCGGCTGTGTTTCTGTGCTATTTACACATCAGCATCACAGACAGGGGGCGCCGGTTGACTATTGTTCCTGAGCTGCGGCTTCAGTTTAGCCATGGTCACGGAACATCTCACGTAAGAAGCTTCGGTTACACCTATTATGTTCAATTAGCCAATTGGTTAGGGAATCGACATGATGCAGTGACATCTCAGTACCTGATTGGTCGTTAGCATTATAGTCGGCAGATTTTCATTTTTATAAAATCATGATGCATTGGAGGAAAAAAATAAAAATCTCCCATCCCAGCAAATTACAGTTAATAGTGCAGAGTCTGTATTCAGTCACAGCTGCAGATGAGAAGCTGTCATTAAAAAGACGACCAGATTCTATATTTGGACGTCTTTGTTTCCACGGCACAGGGAGGTGTGACGAGCTGACACGACCCGTACGTCCTGCTCCTGCAGGTGTTTTTTTTTTTAATACGTTTTAAGTTGAGTCGATTGGAGAAAAGTGTGTGTGAATAAAGGGCTCTCAGTGACTTAATGAAGTGATGATGTGCAGCGAGCACCTCACCTGCACGTTTACACAGCACAGATACAGTATTTGTAGGTTAGCATCACACACAGCCAAGGACAGGGACAAGGACGAGGACAGGACACTGCAGCTCTGTCTGTGTCTTTCTGGGCAACACAAGGATCATTGGTTAAAATAAAAGGTCATCCTGGTAATGAAAGGATTGTGGTACGACTCCCAGTCTTGGCTACTACTGTGGACTAGGATAATGCGGTTCCTGTGGGGATCAAATCCAGGACGCTCCTACTTGCATGTTATTAGTGCCCATTATAGTATATTGCATTTACATTATTTTATTATATGTAAGTCTCATCAGTGGTTTCTTCAGTGAAGGTTCTCTGAATGATTTCCAGAAAAAAAAAACAAAATATATTACATCCCTTTACCAGCTGCAGCTCTCAGGAAAGTTTGCACCTCATTTATGTACCGTTAATTATAAAACATCCCAAATGTAATGCGTCTTTTGTGCAGAGGAGGAAAGACGTCAGAGGGAAAATTAAATTACTTCACAATTAATTTGCATGCATTCAGATTTCCAACTATCCGGTCAACTTCAGCCGCTTTCTATTCAATTATTATTATTTCATGGTTGTTGAAATGAACTCCACTGTAATTCCGTGCACTAGTCTGCACCCGAGTTGATTGGTCAAATTGTTTAAAAGAGAATTTGCATAGTCAATTTAAATTGGAGCATCTAACACAGATGGATATTAGGTGATAATTAAAATCTTATTGTAACATAACACCACTGCGCGTCGACCGAGCGTCGGGCTGAGCTCTGCAGTCATCCACGTAACAAGCCTGACCAAATAGTTAAGAAGCGCAGAGCTGCAGCCCAGGAACCCAAGGCCCTGTGTAGGTGTGAGCTGCGAACAGATAGTGCTCGGCACATCGCAGTTCATGTGTAGCCAAAGCCCACGCAGCGCTGATCAGACAGGGATCATCTGCTAGATCTGAAAATCTATAAGGCAGTCCCCAGAGATGGAGGAGAAATTTAGATTATAAAACCACAGACCGAGCTAAATTATATGGAATGGTATGTGTTCGCTGCTGCTAAACAGTATAGAAGATAAGACTGTCTGCAGACACACCGTTTGTTCACGAGAGCATTTAAAAAAAGAAAATGCAACAAAGAACACCTCAGAGTGAGTGCATGTTGCCAGATCTTGAGAGAAACAAGCAACTGGGTCTTCAAAACCAAGACCAGAAATAATCAAAAACATCCACCCACAGCTAGCCCTGCAGCTTCACACTGAAAAACCACTTTATTTACACACCGCCGTGAACTGATGTGGCTTTTTATGCACGGATTTCCTACAATTTCAACTTCTGCGAAATCCTTTCCTGTCGGCCCTGACTTCAGGTCAAACTGTCTCTGATATGTCTCCATTTGTCCCAGTCTTTGCTCCATATAATGTCAGCTTTGTTCCAGGCATTGTCAGCACATGGTCTTTTATCCATTGGTCCAACAAATTAATTGAGTTTGGCAGTGTTTCCTGTGTTTACAGGGGGGTGGGGGGTCGGGGAGGGCACAGCTTTTTGTTCCCAGGATGAACCAAAAGACAAGTCAATCTGATCACCACAGTCATGCATGTCTTTATCGCTCTAATGTTGGGGAGGGACTCTGCAACTGGACGACACGGGGACAGGGGTTTGGCTTTTTAGGTGTTTTTTCTATTCTTTTCTGGACTACTGTTACATTCTGAGGTACAAGAACTGAAACACAGTTACTAGGTAGAACAGCAACTCCAGGTACAAAATGTTTGTTTGATCAGAACAGTCAGATTATCCAGTCCTAACTCAGTTAAACCAAAAATCACAATAAACCACAATCACACACACAAAAAAAACTAAAATAAGCATGAACCATGAGCATCAAACAGCAACAACCCCACACAGCAAAACCCCAACAAAGACTGAGTGAAGGACAGAGGTATTTATACCCAGGGCAGCAGGTGAGACGAGTGAGGCTGACGAGCAGGACACAGGTGAGCCTGATGAAGCTAATTAACCCTTGAGAAACACAGACAGAAAAAAGTGACAGACAGACCTGACAAACAACACGGTTCTTCACTAGATTAATGAAAATAAACATTATTTCTGCCAGTTTATTTTATTTGTTTTTTTCACCTCATCATGTTAAATATGACCAGGAGGTTCATTTCATGTTTATATCAGAATGATGCCCACGGTCTAAAGCAGAAAAAATGTATAAACACTTCATGTTCGTGATGTTTTGTCAAATTGTTTCATTAAGTATGAATATTTTTTAACAAACTTGTACTTATTTACATGACAACATAGGAGAGAACCATGGACCTAATTTATACCTTATTTATAGGTAATTATGTTAAATCAGGCTGTATGTGGCCGCTGATCCAAAATGAGTTTGATACCCCTGGTTTAAACTCTTGTCTTAGGTAAATACCCCCCGCCTTCCTCCCCCCATCTCCAGCACAAAGACCAGTTCTATTTCTACAAGCAAAAGAATCACACAGGCTAAACCAGAAAACACACACCAGGCTAAAACTAAAGAGCTCTGAATCTCGCTGCCGGCTGAAGAGTCAACTCTAATCTTCCACACTTTGTAATGTCTTTTATTGAAAAATGGAAACTGTTTATGGTGAGGCTCTCAATTTGGCCAAGAGTAACACGGAATCTCTCGCACATGCCAGTCTCCTGACATTTCCTAACCTTCTTGACACACACTTGTTGGAGTGTGAACCATTTCGCAAATGAGGGTTATTCCGGGAGAGTCACGTCTCCTCTCTACTCCTCGGCAGCAGTCGGCCAAAGGCTGTAAAAGATGTTGTCCTTTAGTTATGAGGGAACGTGAGCGGCAGCCAGGGGAGGGGAAAAAAAAAACAGAAAAGGAGAAGCTCTTCAATTGGATCAAGTTTTTTTCTCCTCTTTGTCTTTGTCTCTCACTATCCCTGCAGCGCTCTCTCTCTCTCTCTCTCTCTCTCTCACCCTCTCTCCCTCTCTCTCTCCAACTCGCTGCCTGTGCCCTGCTGCTCCATCATCCTCAGGGATGGGTCTGAAGGAGACCATCTGTTGATCCATTTGTTTCCTGCTTTGCTCCCTGTGCCACCACCTCTCCCCTACAGACGACGAGGCCTGGCCTTCGCCCTGCCCACCGCTCTTTGTTGTTGCCAACAGGCACTTGTGGTGAGGCGCGTAAGCTGCCCTGGGTGGGGCAGCAGGGTGGGCTCTCAGTAGTCTCTGATTAACAAAGAAAAGAACCAGGCACTGACAAATGTGTATCCTGTTACACCAGACTAGCATATTAACAAAGAAAAGAACCAGGCACTGATAAATGTGTATCCTGTTCAGACTAGACTAGTCCTAACTGAGTTCTGTTTGTCTTCTGGTACAAAGGTTTTGTTCTGACCTGGGATAAAAAGAAGACACTGATTTCATCTCTTTATTTTTTTTGAATTCCTGATATCAAAACCATTCTATTTTCCCCTTAGGTCTTAAGCACAGAGAACGCATCATTACATGGAGGCACTGACCATGAAATAGATGTTACAAACAACGCTGAAGGACCATCACTGCAGGCTCGGGAACACTCACCACCAACATATTTATTGCCTCTGAAGTGTTTGCCGATAAGGCAACTGGCGACAGAAGGCTTTGTGTGTGTGTGTGTGTGTGTGTCTCCTGGCTGTCAACTCGTATACATGTTCAGGGGTTCAACCGACACACGGGAGTCCACCGTGGGGACTCCAGCCATTGCTTTACTTTGAGCTTCTCCCGTGACTCTCTATTACCCATCATTCTGCTCAGCCCATGCCCCAGAGAGTAGCTGGGAAAGGGTGGAATGTTAACATGAGCTGTGATGCACCCAAGAGAGGTTCACTATACAACCGTAGTATTGTACAGCTGAATACACAGAGGGAGATGTTCAGGGACTGTGCCTGTGGTGAAGGCAAGGTCTGAAAGCGGGAAGCTATAGAAAATGACAGAGAATCCAGACGCTGTTGGAGAAAAATGGTGACTTTTGATATGCAAACTTGAGGTTGTGCTCCACACAGAGTGGTACGGTACGGTTGTTATCCAGAACAGCCATATCTGATGTATCTGATCTGAAGGTGAACAGCCAGGGAAGACATGCTATTGATTTCCCATAACACGAAGATGACATGTGCCCATGCACACCGCTATTTTACCAACAGCCAGTGTCATCTAATTAATCATTATCTGACGAGAACCGGTTCTGCTGCAGGCTTTAAAAATAAACAATCGCTTACAATTGAGGACGAGTTACGTTTATTTTAATTTGAAAGATTTTAATCTTTAAATCTCCATGTGTTTTCCCAGGATTCCTCAGCACCGGTGACCAGGCTGCCAAAGGGAACTACGGACTCCTGGACCAGATCCAGGCCCTGAGGTGGATCAGCGAGAACATCGGCTTCTTCGGTGGAGACTCCAACCGCATCACTGTGTTCGGTTCTGGGATTGGAGCCTCTTGTGTCAGCCTGCTCACCCTCTCCCATCACTCTGAAGGTACGGCACAGCAGGGACGGGGGAGGGGTGACACAGCTGTGGAGCTAACGCCTGCTGGTGTGTAGGCAGCTCGATATTAGAAACTGGTGGTGCAGGCCACAAGTTATTGAGCAATGCATTGTACTGCGCCGCGCAGCACAGTGCATGTAGGAGGCAGGTGTTTGCATTTAAATGACTGTGACTTTCAATCCCGGTGGAAAATTGAAACTCCACGGCAGACTTAAAACCACATGTGGGACTTTGTCAGATTGCCGGCGTCATGTATGAGTAAAATAATTATGTTGGTTTAATGTGTCTTTGTAAGCAAGATAAAAGGGGACAGAGTGTACCGGAGAGAGTGTGTAGTGGCAGCCGCCATCATGAGGCATGACATACACACTCCCACTGCTCTCTTTGTATTCAGCACTGTTTATCTGCTGGCTACCTTAATGCTACTCAGGATGATTTAGTGGCCACACTGGCCGCGTCTTTAAAACGACACGCAGCGGGCACGCTTAACCTGGACATGTGGTAAACATCCCTCATACTACTGCTCCGCTAATGCATCATTCTATTAGCATGGAGCTCAACTGCCTACATATAACATCTTGGCGGAAGTCCATTTGCACATGTGAATGAGTGTGCGCTCCAGCTATGAATGTCAACTTCATGCTGCGCCCATGAACATCACATTATCCTTATTAACCCAGAGCTTGTGCACATATTTCTTCCGATGTCTTGTTCATAATGGAGAGCGCTGTTGTGCGCCCACATCGGGCTGCCATTTATCCACATTGTTGTTATCGCGTTGTGATAATCAAAATGAAAAAACTCCCTACGTTCGACTTGTTGTTTGCACACGAGCGTCATGTTGATGTCGCCCACACACTGCTGTGAACACACACACAGGGTTGAAAAAAGAAACACATGATTTTCATTGTTCATTTAAAACTGCAGCGAGTGTCAGGAGCCGCTTCATCAGATCAACTCCATGTTCAGATTCATCTGTCAGATGTTTTCATTTGCATCAGTGGGCAGCGGTAACATGGATTACTGTGTCGCGACAAAGTACTTGTGATCTTGAACGGCCTCTGAAGCTAGTGGATACCACAACTTATGGTAAAAATAGTACATTTAAATATGTAGCATTTTATTAAAAAGCAATATTTGACACTAAGAAATAAGCAATAGCGCAAAATAGCAATATGTGATAAAAGTCTATTTTTTTAAATTTTGAGTATTTTTCATCTGTGTAATCCATTCACAGATTACTCCAAACTCACAGTACAATACCGGCCATTATACCTTTGTATGAAGGCCATTCTGTTGTCTATCGTGTACAGGCTACGCCATTTGTCTGTAGCTAGCAGCTGCAACATGACGTAAATAGACAGAGAGCTTCAAATACTGTGCTGATAAAAAATAATAACCATCTATTCACAACTGCACCATTATTCAACAAGTCTATTCACAACTGCACCATTATTCAACCAAGACTTAAAAAAATACATCATCGCTTTCCATTACTCTGTTCATCTGGGGCATTACCGCCACCCACCAGGCTGGAGGGGGCATCAGTATTACCGGTGCACTGCAAATGACTGACGTGAGGAAGACATTTGTTCAATTGTCTGTAGATACTAACAGTAAGTCCCAACCCTGATGAATATTAAACATCACTGTTATATTCAACCTCTGGTCTAAGATATTCACCCTACCACGTGTTCGTTCTCCCTCTCTGCTGGGGGAGGCAGGGGAGGCGTCATCCCCTGTGTTTATAAACAGGGAGAGAACTTGTGCACGCTGGACCTGCAACATTCCAACTGTGCATTGTCTGGATGTATAATACATCAAAGAAACCAATCATATCTGCAAGAGAGAAAACAGGATGGCTCTTTGATCTGGTGTGTAGGAACCACTACATAGCACAGCACCGGCATCACGCACTCTTAACACCAACTAATCCAAACACACAGCTGCTCTTCTTGTCAGCGGGCGATAAAGTGTCGGATTTTTTGATTAAAAGGCCTAAAGAGGTCATTTGAGCCTTTTTTTCTCCGTTGGCCTCTATCACAGTGGCAGGGATTTGTGTTTTGTTTTGTGTTTTCTAATTTGCATCTAAGTGTTACTAATTGCGTTGATTTCCTCCAATGAGTGATGACTGCTTTTGGATTGAAGATTTACCATAAATGCCTTTTTATTCATACTCCACAATGCCACGCTCCGTGTAGCGTGTTATTATACTGCCAGTGAAACCATCTCCACTGCCTTCTAGTAAATTGGATATTACCGGGTCTGTTTTTTTCCCCCCATTGAATAAAAATGTATGCCCTAGTGATGCGATAAAGTATAACTAGCAAAACTAAGGAAATTGAAAGTGGAGGCATTCTATCACATCAGGATTCTTGCTGTGATGTTACCAATAAAAATCAGATCCGACAGTCTCTCTCAGAGCACAGCCTGTTGTTATTATATGAAGTTAGGACTGGAGTCGAATGCCGAATGAGACAGGAAGCCTGAGCAAAGAAATTTCCTCTTGCACCTGCCTTTGCCACCTCCAGGATACCCCCCCCCCTCCCCTCTTATCCTGGCTGCCCCTTAATCAGTGTGTGTTTGTAAAAAAATAAAGTTTAAAAAGCTACAACAGCTGAGAAGCTTTAATGTGTGGGAAGAAAACATATTTCAGATGCTTTCTAGTAATGGATTTGTGTTTGATTTTTTTTATCAGGTCTGAAAGATAATGAAGCAACTAAAATACCCTAATTTTCAGAATATTGAAATTACAATGGTTGTAATTTGTATTCTTTTATTAATGGCCATTATAGGGATTACCGTGGTATAAATGAAGTCCAGGGAAGTTTAGAGACAATAGCTGTGATCATGTGACTTCGAGGCTACAAGCTTGACAATAGTCCTACCTACAAAAAGGGGGCGCTGGAGAAAAGGTTTGGCAACCAATGTCCAAAGAAGTCAGCTTCAGTGGTCTCTGTATTTGACTAAGTGCAGGTGGGTTTCGAACAATCCTCTGATAAAAAGCTCAGTTCTCTTACCCGGGGATCACGGCGCTATCAGGCCCATTCGATGGAAAAATTGGTTATTGATCTGACACCAGCACTTCACTGGTTCAATCTCCACAGTCTCTAAACCGACCCAGGTGTGAATCCAAGTGTGAATGGTGGCTTGCTTGTGCATGTGGCACCTGTGATGGACTGGCCAACTGTCAAGTGTGAACCCTGGCTTCTCCCAAAGACCGCTGGTGTTGGCTGTACTGTCCGCCCACCACGACCCTAAAAATGATTAAATGGTGGAAGACAAATGAACTGAGCCCACAGTCGAAATCATTACATACTGTGTATATGCTCTTTTTTGGAACGCACACACATACATATATACTGCACACACGGCCTGCGCACAAACATTTTCCATCACCTGCTGCTAGGCTGCAGCAGAGTCAGGCCCTGATTTTAAAAAAAGGGAGGAGGTAAATCAGCGATGACACACTGTTGTGGAGCTCCCTGGTGTGTCGGTGTATTTAATGACAGTATTCCCACTCTTACTGTACACAGTCTGTCATCACTGCCTAGAGTGCATAGACTTCCTATCTAACTGAGACTACTTTTATGCCTGTCTGTGGCAGAACGACAACTTACTTCAGACGCTCGGTGCCTCAGCTAAAGCCTAATAAATAAGCTGGATCTTCCAGGATCGGTTTAGCCTTCCAGCTTTTTCTCTTCGATTTTGCCTTTTTCTGGATTGGCCTTTGGTGATGTGTCTGTGTGAGGATACCAGGGGGCTACAGTCACAGGGTACATCCATCACCTAGCGTCCTCCTTTTGCCTTCTAGCCGGTGTGCCTACTGCCCTGAAAGTCCCCTCTCTCTCTCAAGGGCTGGATTCTTGAGACATCAGCCCCTCCCCTGCATCTAATCTCCCCCTCGCTGCACCCATCTGTTTCCCTGCCTTCACAGACAGTAAAAGCATGCAAGGGACGTGTGCTTTCTCTATGTGCCAGTGTGTCTCTCCCTTTCTGCCTCCCTGGGTTTCAGCTCCACAGTCTCCAGGATGTGTCTTCTTGTGTTGCTATTTATAAGATGGCTGCCTTGTCTGCTGCCGTATGTGGCAAGCAATCTAGCTGCACATCTGAGACGTTGGAGGGAGGATGGTCATTAAAAGCGCAGTGTCTCAGCAGGGGCAGTTTTGACCAGCTTATTAAATGTAACTCAACAGTTGTGTTCCCACAGAGGAACATCTCGGCTCCCAGCCTATTTTTTCCTCCAGCTTTAAACAGAAAACAGTGGCACAAGTTCAGTGGAAGGGACGCTTGCTGCTTGGACAAGTTATTTACCCACAGCATTGATGTTATTAATTATAATCTAATGCTAATGACTTTTACAGAAAACATCCAACTACAATTACAGCGTGATCAGGACTCCTGACCTTCTCTCAGCAGAGCAGCACGGTGGGGGGACCGCTGTTATTATAATTACTATATGGACTTCAACCCTACTATTAATAGACAGACACAGTCGGTACTATATTTAAAAGGAACATATTGTGCGGCTCCTTTGCAAATTAACTTAGTTCCTTGGTGTCTAAATAATAAAAAAATAATTAAAGATTATTATTATTAGAAAGCACAGCTGGTTATTTTTGGTTAACATCCCTGTCCTGACTGGGTGTGTCTGTGCCTTTAAATGGTAATGAGCATGCTCCGCCCACCTCTTCTACGGGAGATAGACTGAGGATAGCTTCACGTATCCATGGCAACATTGAGTGTTGAGAGGAAAATGATCTGCAGGTGTACACGAATCAGCTATTAGTAATGAAAATGACAAATTCTCACAGGGTTACACAGTACGTTTGATGTACGTTGCTAGAGTTTGGTCATTTCTTGCATCGTATGTCACCTTAGAGTAAGTGTAAGAACGTAATTGACAAGGAATTATTAACGAGAACATTTCGACAACCCCCTGGGATGTGACCCCAGGTTGGTGACCACAAAGATGGCGGTTGCTCTGCTCT